GAAGTTCATCTCTCTGATGCTGTACCCAGTTATGAGATACCACATTTAAAGTTTCTGATGCTGCAGGCATTCACTGGTGAGCATCTATCATAGTCTTGTTTTCAGCTAGGAGCACAAGCTCTCAAATTAACATCCTGAGCAAAGGCTGGAATAATCAGAAAAATTTCATTATGCCAAAAAAATCTGTAAGCTATCCTAGAGGAAAATTGGTAGGAGTATTAGAATTATCAGAAACCAGTGCTTAAAAATGTAAGTAAATTTTTTGTGCCATTAGTTGTGTAAAAAATATGTACATAACAAACTTGTATGATATTTGTATTATATAATACTTGTATGATATTTAAATACTATTTAATGTCTACAAAACATGGTCCAAATTTATAGGAAAGCATCCCTTTAATTAAAGCTAGTTATGAAACAATTGGAAATGACTGGCAATAGCTTACAAGTGGTGAAAAGACAGTAAATAAGAATGACATGAATCTGGTCATTAGAAACTAAGTTTGATCTTCGAAAAAAACAGTGTTTTACTATCTTCTTTCCTTAAAGATATACTTAGCAGGTAAACATCAGAGATCTGAGACAGTGGCCACTGGAAAAAAATCCTTTTATGTGACCTCAATGACTGCTGCACATACTGTACAGTCTTACCTTAAAGATAAAGCAACTCCAGTTGACATAAAGACTAAAACCCTCACCTAAAATTGGTCCAGCCTGATGAAGCAATATGGGAAATGTGATGGTATGTGTTTCAAAATGCAACTACAGGATGAAAACATGAGGGCTTGTGGAAAGCATTTGTTGTAAGAAGCCAAAGCATTATTTATCCAGGAAAAGCTTTGAAGAAGGTGAATAGAATAGTCACTTGGCAACCAGTATTAAAAGGTATGGAAATAACTTGTGAAAAAAGAAAATGTAGCCGTACTGATGTTGCCAGCAATATGAGATCTTTTCTGAAATTCAGTCAGATTTTCTGAGTACCAAATATTCTAGCTGGAATCCCCCTAATGCTTTAAAATACTGTTGTTTTTTCCATACATAAGATATTTCCCTTTTTTACAGTAGGTTATTTTCCCCAGACTAAATATTTTAGAAGAGTACTTCACAGCCCTAACACTTGAGGAAAGAGCTCTGGAGACAACATCACCCTCAGTTCTCCTAAAACTGCCAGAAGTCATTTCTGACCTGCTGGCAAAGTGTTCAGCCCTCCATTCTAATTCCAGGGCAGGCATTCAGCACCACCCAATCTATGTAACTTTAATTTTTTCCATTAATATCCTGTACATATTTAAGTTGCTAGAAATTTCTGGAAGCTTTCTAATTGTCATTCAGGACATACTTAGCACTAAATCTAGGGATTAACAACCCACAGAATAATTTGTATGTGTTCTGCAAATACAAGTTGCTACTGATAAAATGACATCATGTAGTTCTTATTGAGGCTCTTATATTCACTTTGATATCTTGGCAATCCCATAAGCATTTTTTCTTATAATCTGTCAGGGTCACAATTTTTACACTCAGGTAATGTTGTATTGTGCTCTTGGAAAAGTCAAATTGCCTAGGAAAACATTTGTTTGTTTTCTGTTGCATTAATGCAGCTTTATATTCAGCAGGTAGATCTGATGTTGCTATGTGTTTGCTGAGCAGAAAGGCTTCTTTTTCAGTAAGAGTGAAGAAAATATTTAGTGGAACATTGCTTTAGACAGCATCGAAAAACATAACCTGCTCAAGCTGGTTACCAGTAGATTATCTTTCTTCCTACATGCATCCACTGCACAACATTTGCTTAAATTTATTAAAGCTTATTTGGCTTATGTCAAAGTCAAGAAATTCAACCTCTGCCTTCTCAGTTCAGCCCACTGGTGTTAATGCATAATAATATATTCTTTATGTACACAAATAACATTTTTTCACAGTTACACGATCTTACTCTCTAAAGAGAATGAATATTTTTTCTTCAAGGAAGAGTTATTCAAGATTTCGATTTTGTGACCTTTTTGAAGGGTTCATTCCAGAGCTTCAGGCTTCATTTATAGCATTCTATTCAAACCTAACTCTTAAGATAAAAATTAGCCCTTTCATATATACATTTTTAGGACACTCACCTCCAAAATACCAATTGTGCTACAAACATAAGAGTTTAATTTCACAATATGGTATTATAATATGGGAATTTTATAAATTAGCAATATTTTCCAGTGATTGTGGTACCTAAAGCTAGGATCATGTTTTTAAATTGTTTATTATATAACATATGAAAGCTCAACTTCATTTCAGATCCAACTTCAGGGTCTGAAATAATGAACCCCAAAATATTCAACAATCATACTAATGGCAATTTTTTTTTACTTAAACTTTCTGTCTAAGCAAAAAAATTTCCATGCTCATAACAAAAACTTATCTGAACTCAAATTTTAAAATAACCCTTCCTGAAAGGCAAATTAAAAGTCCTGTCTGCAAACATGTACCTGGTTTCCAAGCAGTTTCCACCCCCAACACTTTACTCATTCAGCTGACATGCTAACCATGAGCTGGCAGCTTGTGGCTTGATTTACAAACTCATGATTTCTTTTTTTTTTTCTTTAAGATAGACTACTAGGACATCCTCTTATCCTCATGCTGGCCTCCAATTTTCACATGAAACAGCTTGTGTTTCTAAGATTTTCAGTTTGTCATTCTACAGCAGCCAGCTGAAAAAACCTGGAACAACCATGGTGCATGAGTTTATGGAAACCTGAAATTTGGCTGATTCAGAGACAGAGTGCCTACTCTTCCTAAACTCGTTTTTTTCCAAAGCTAAAATCATTCAGAGACATATATACCATCTGTCACCTTTCAATACAGCACTTTTTAAAGGGAAAAAAAACCCTTTTAAATTTGTCCTTATCATTTGGCTAAAGTGGGTAAATAATGGCAATGTTAGCAATAATAATGGTGAGCAGCAGCAGAAGTTTTAGTGGATGGCAGAGAAAAATGTTTAGGATGGGCAGTCTCCAGCTGAGCAGGAAATTAATAAGAAAATATAAATAGAATTCTTTCAAATATTACATTTTAAGAAGTATCTGGGGTTTATATGTTACCATTTCGTCAATCCTGCAATATTCTGGACAGGGGGGAAAAAACCTGGCAGCAGCAGCTTTTCATTTACTTTCCACTTCTTGATTCATCAGATAAACAAAGAGCTCTCAGTTCCATACAGTCTCTTGTTCTTGTATCAGTTGCCACTACGTCAAAGATAAATTCTGAAAGCAGTGCTTTTTTTCCTGTGTCATCTTCTGCTTAAAGAAGCTCTGATGTTTGTGCTGAAATGATCTGGAATTCTGCCAAAGGCTTCAGGATAAGCATATTTCAGTCTGGCAGTGAATCCACAGTCAAAGACAAAACAGCTACAGACACCATCACAAGAAAGTTATTTATAAATCCAGATACTAAATCAAGAAAAACTAGTGCAGCAGTCTTTTAATGGAGGCCATTTGTTCCAGGTGCCATTAGTATAAATATCAAATGTGGTACTTTGTGCATGTATCAAAATTTAAACACAATAGCATAGGCAGCATCCAGATAAAGAGAATTTCTGTTTTTCTCTGACAGTATTTGCAGATTGAACATTTCTAACTGCACAGTTAAAGCCTGAAATTGGTAAGAGACTATGCATTTGAAGATATTTGAAATAATATATTTAAAAAGTAGTTTTGAGAATTTTAGCAGCTAAAACACCCTATTGGTCCATAGATACTTTTGCCTTTCCTACTAACCTGCTATTATCTGTTTATATTTTATATGCTCAGAATAAATGCATAGAACAATTCACCAAGCCCATCTTGGATTAGCACTGAAATTGTACATCATCTGAAGCTAATAATATATTTTATTACAGGTTGCAATAGAAGCCCGTATTTCATCTTCCATGAATAATCTCAGAACTACAAAGTAGAATATCAAATGTCTATGTATATATGTATTTATTTACCTAAAAACACCCATGTGAAGATAAAATTGAAAGCTTTCTGTACTTATGGACATGAATAACTAGGCCTTTACATGTAATAGTTATTTTAAAGAAATGAATAAAAGTGACATCAGTGTTTCTTGTGAGCCTCTTCTTAGAAATTAGAATGGTTGGGAGGTATTCAGATGGGTTATCATTGAAGCAACTAAAAAAAGAAAATATAATCTCTTGTCAAAACATGAATTCAAAACCTGATGGATTCTATTGTCTTTGAAGAATATAATCTCCCTTTGTTTAAAAATTATTCAGTAGAATGTTCCATTTCTTAATTTTCTAGTTTGGAGGCAGAGAAAAATGGGGCATCAGCACTGTCTGGGAACTGTCTAGGCCACTCCACAGCATCTCTTTTTTTACTGAAGAGCATGTCTTTAGGAAAGACAACTTAGTCTGTGTTCAACAAAACTCTTAGAAGTTAGGGTTATTTAAGTACTTGCCAGCAGATTCAAAGAGAATAATGTAAAAGTCATACTAAAGTCATGGAAGCTTGAAATATAAATGGAAGAAAAGAGATTTTAATTTCAGGACTGGACAAGTTAAGGGCTAGTTAATGTAATGAAAGGAAGTTAAATAAAGAAGGTAAATTTGAGTTTGGAAATTTATTAGAAATATTATTTTTGCTGATTTTTCAAGAAAGACTATTTAAAACCAAAGCAAGACTTCAAGTTATGAATATTTTGATTTGATATGAATTCTAAGTCTGTGTGATTGAAAGAATCCAAACAAATGGCATGATAAAAATGATAGGTCATGGTAGATAACCTTAAAGACAGTTTACTTTCAAAATGTTCATCTTTAAGTTAAGCTACATTTTTAAACTAAAAATGAGTCTCTTATTTCTGATATATGACAATGAATTTTGAGCCAGGAAGTAGAAACTAATTACATTTAAAGTGTTCCACTGAGGCTGCTCATTAATATAACGAGAGCAGAAATGACAGAAGGGAGCAAAAGAAAAACTAATACTTGCCTTTTTATATTTATTTTACAGGAAATGTGTTTGTTGTAAGCCTGGCAGTTGCAGACTTGATAGTAGCTATCTACCCTTATCCACTGGTCCTCACATCTGTGTTTCACAACGGATGGAAACTGGGATACCTACACTGCCAGATTAGTGGCTTCTTGATGGGCCTAAGTGTCATTGGATCAATCTTCAATATTACAGGCATCGCTATCAATCGGTACTGCTATATCTGCCACAGCCTCAAATATGACAAGCTGTACAGCGACAGGAATTCACTGTGCTATATTGTCCTCATTTGGGTCCTAACATTTGTCGCTATTGTGCCCAACCTGTTTGTGGGATCGCTGCAGTATGACCCCAGGATTTACTCCTGTACATTTGCACAGTCTGTGAGCTCAGCATATACCATAGCAGTTGTGTTTTTCCACTTCCTGCTCCCCATAGCCGTGGTCACTTTCTGTTACTTGCGAATATGGATCCTCGTTATCCAGGTAAGGCGAAGGGTTAAACCGGATAACAACCCGAGGCTGAAACCACATGACTTCAGAAACTTTGTAACCATGTTTGTGGTGTTTGTACTGTTTGCAGTCTGCTGGGCTCCTTTGAACTTTATAGGCATTGCAGTGGCTGTCAACCCAAAAACTGTAATCCCTAGGATTCCAGAGTGGTTGTTTGTGTCTAGTTATTACATGGCATATTTCAACAGCTGCCTTAATGCTATAGTATATGGACTCCTGAACCAGAACTTCAGAAGAGAATACAAGAGAATTATTGTCACTTTTTGTACAGCAAAAGTTTTTTTCCAGGATAGTTCTAATGATGCAGGAGACAGAATGAGAAGCAAACCTTCTCCACTGATTACAAACAACAATCAAGTGAAGGTGGACTCTGTGTGAAAATGGGAATCTTACTATTATCACTCAACAGCATCCAAAAAAAAAGTGTCCATTTTATTAGACCTCCTGTTAAATGTTATAGTGAAATATACCTTCTACACTGAAAGCACTTTGATCAAATCCTTCTCATGATGTTTGGAAGCTTGTTACAGAGCCTTGACATACAGATCATATTATACAATGGTATATCCGTTGTATAATGACATAGTGATGTCCTTGAGGAAATAAAAAGTTATGAATGACTACTTTTTTTTCTTAGATGGAGATAAGCACCTAGAAAGAGATTGAATCAGAAGTATCCATATTGCCTGCTTCAGTAAAACAAATCATAAAACTATTCCTCTCACTTTCCACATGCTCTTTCTGTCCATGTTACAGTCCTGATTCTAAAATCTCTGAAAACTTTTTTTAAAAAAAAGAAATCAGACCTTTATGAAATGTATTAAGAGATGTGAAGTCAAAAATCAAGGTAACTGAAAATTCATTAGGATTTTTAAAAAGTACCTCTATCTATATTTCATTGCTACTAACATGGACACGAATATAATTTTTTGGATATTAAACCTCACCAGCCCTCCTAGGGATTGGCATTCTCAATTGACTTTTCAATTTTAAAATAGCTTTTAGCAGGAGAAACAAGCCTGAATGATTATCTTCAAAGCTCCAAGGGCAGGAGGATAAACAGCAAGGAAGGAAAAGAGCCATGATTCATCAGTGCAAGCCGTTTCAGCATGAAAAAGAGGTGTAGGAGGGTTGGGAAGAGAAATTTAAATTGCCATTATTTCTCAAGAGATGGTAACTCATGAAATCAGGAAGTGTCCCGGAGGAGTTTCTGGGGAAACACCTTCTAGAAACATAAGTGAGGAAGAACTGTTATTTCTCACTTGTGTACAAGACAGAAGTTCTAAATCTCTGTGAGAAAAAGATTAATGTGTTTAATAGGAGTGATAGTTGATTATGACAGTTTTGTCTGGTTAGTGGAATCTTAAGCCCATGAAACACTGGAAAATAAAACATGTATACAGAATGAGTATTTAACATCTTTCTGAAACTGATCCCCTGAGAATAACTTGAGGCTAGCAGTTATTTTTTAATCTGTCACAGATAAAATTTTCAAATTAATAATTAGGTGTTTACCACAATTATGAACATAGTGTAATAGCCTAGAAGAATTAGACACCTTTAAATAACAGAAAAGTTATCCTACTTATAACAGTGGTACAAAGAGGAACATGTGATTCTCAGGACTTTCCACAGACAGCAGGGACCTCTTCAATAAGGGGAAGTACAGTGTGAAGTGAGGAAAAATAGCAAGACAGGCTGTCTCCTGCAACAATGAATCTCTCTTTATAATGAAGTCCTCTGGCAGTGAAAAGTAATTCACAACAATAGGATTCACCTTCAAATTGACCTTAAAAAGAAAGAGCATTTAGTTCTGGAAAGAAGCTCCAACTGTCATACCTTTTAATGCTCAATTGTTTATACCTACAGTGATGTCCAAGTACACTTGGGCTTTTCCAAGCCAATTCCAACAATGTCAGTGGGACAAAGAGCTTCTGAATAGCCATCAGACTTTTGTTAATCTATGTTAACATTTTACTTACACTGCTATTTTAAAATATTATTTACTTAACTGGAGATTTTCTTTCAGAAAACAACTGTCATTCTGTCATAGAGCTCCTTTAGCTGAATTTAAATCTAATAGCATAATAGCATTCCTTCTTTCTTGGATCATAGATTAGTATACCCTTGGTTTCCTAATGAACTAAAGGGAATCAATTCATATTTGCTTGAAAGCCCCACTGACACTTCATCATCTGATCAGTTTCTTACCTTAAAAACAGGTGCCTCATGTCAAGTTATCAATAGAACTAAATGAACAACATTGTAAAACCTTGGATATGAACTAGCAAGTCAATGCATTGCTGAGGTGCTTGACTCATCTTTGTTTACATTTTCCAGTCAGAACCACTGTGTAAATAACCAGCTCTCCTCTATTGTGGTATCATCATATGATATGATACAACATGATTTACAGCATAAAGTATATCACAGCTTTCTTCACTGTGATTTCATCCTTGGAGGATGCTTAGCTCTGTAATTTTATTGCTTTGCGTGTAGTGATTTTAGAGTAGCAAGGGAGGCATGACCACCTTACAAGTAAATGAGTTTTTAATGCAAGAAAAATACTATTTAAATTCTTACAAAAATTGCCTTATTAAAGCATATTTTCAATGAAAATAATGTCTTATTATATATCTATGAAAGTAGCATAAAGACAGTTAAAGTAGCTTAATCATTACTAAGTTTAGAATTCTCAAAGACCTTTCACTTTCCATTTCCTACAGAAAATGTACATCTGTACCATGTCTACATATTTATGAGCTGGTTCAAGATACTGTATCCAATATGTGGGTTATCTGAGGAATTAAAGTCCCCTGTAATTCGCAAGTGCTAAAATATATTTTTGATGACAATGAAAATGATTTCCTATATACAACAGAACATATTATACCAAAGGTATATATTTTATTGAATAGGCCTGTAATAAAAATGGAGAGCATTTTTCAGATCTGTATTTTGAAATATTTGTATTAAATCTAAATCACAGAAATGTGCATGTTGGTGATGTTATGAGCTGCTAAATATAGCAATAATTTTAAGAAATTTATCTCTTGTTCTTCTTTGTGGGGAGAGTTGATAATTGTGTTTAATTTACTATGGATGAAAACTTTGGATGATAGCTGCTGCCCTCTGAAGTATGTTTTAGGTAAGGATTGCAAAACTACCCATTGCAAAAGTAGAAGAATAATGAATGATGCTTAACTCTGCAGTAATGGTTACTTTTAATTCCAGTCTATTGCTTAAAAAAAGTCAAAGTGATTCATGCAGGACAATCAGCAGCCTTGCCAGCTGCTCAATGACAATGAGCATGACAATGTAAGTCAGCCCCTCACAAGATCTGAGTCTTTATAGTCAACATAGAGATGACTGGTGAAAATAATAATGATTTCTGTCCATTCTAAGGAGATGCAGTTTGAAACATCTGAGATTGCTTGCTTCTGTGAAAGTGGATGAGCTATGGTATGCTTTTTTATATTCCAAGTCATTAAATTTTCTCCTGTATGAAAGGTTAGCATAGCACAACTGCATTGTTAAGAGTTCAGTCTGGGTGGTTTAGGTAGTGTACTCATCCTGTAGCAGTCATCAGCCCTGGACAGATTTAGTCCTAAAATGCGAGTCTTACTCTGTGGCATCTGAAAATGCCCATCCCTTTCCAACTTCCCATCCATTTCTGATCTGAGCCCCAGTGAAGCCAAAGGACCTCTGTGAAGGACCAGTGAAACACCTCTGTCCCCCTCCCTGTATGCAACACACTTACAGCCTTATTGAATGCTACCTAATCCTGCAAGAATTCCTTTCCTATATCACAATCTTGATTATATTGACAATCTGAATATGATCTTATCAACACACCTTGAACCCTTACAGATAGATAGTTTTATTGGTGGTCATCTACATTGCAAACTCCACGTTTACAAAGAAGCTTGGCATTATTAAATATTTACCAGCAAAGAAAATCTTAATGAATATATTAATATCAAACAGGGTAGTCATTGTATTTAAACTGTAACTGTATGCAACAATGTAGTTTCATTTGGAGTAGCTTTGCACATTTTCTCTTTGCACATTTTCTTCTACCGCTAGGCTGGTGCAAGTCCATAGATATGAAACAAGCATATGTTATTTCAATAGACACAATATGTAGCAATGATTTTACTTCTCTTTTTTCTAATTTGTTTTAGAAGGCAGGTATATGAATCATCCATAATAAAGAGACAATAATGAACAATCTGTATCAGTGTTTAGTGCATCCTTATATAATCGTCACATCTTTTTCTTCTTTTTGACCCCTTTTGAAATTTTATTATGTTAGATCTGATTAATTATTATATACTGAAGGGAACTGTAATTTCCCTTACATGGCACTGAAAAAATAATCGTTAAAAAAACCTTAAAATGTAATACACAATTACATAAATATATGTGGTTATCCAATTTGAAATATAATTTCAAAAACTCCTTTTATTTGAACAATTTGTTCATAAACTGTAGTAATGTTATTCTTTAATTATTTTCTAATAAATGCACTTTCTAAGTATAATTAAAGTGGTTTATGAATAATTAAGAGCTACAAATGTCTGTCATTTTGTCACTGAGGCTTGGGAAATCCCACATGCTAAAGCCGACTTTCTTAGCAGAAAAAATATTCAAGTAGTGGCCTGCCTTACAGCCCATGTACTGTTTCTCAAATTTTTGCCTGTAATAAGAATTCCATTATGTGGTTTTATGAATTTACTTATTAAAAATATTATTCCTACCTCAAATGCGTGTCTGAGAGATTGCAATGTGTACACGGTGGAAAAGACTCACAGTATAAGTCAATAGCCTTTACAGTTTTTAATAGAAACAAAAGTAAATCCAGCAAAGAAATACATATATTAATAATGGTTATAGAAAATATTTTCCAAATTGAATTAAATACTCATCACTCAAACTATCTCAGCTACCAAACACTGACCAAAGTATATACATTTTGAGAACCATGTTATTCATAAAAGTATATACATTATTCCAAAAGATTATTCCAAAAGTTACATCCAAATACCCTTTGAGACACAGTGTCTGTTTCATCTCACATAAAACAATACAACTTCATGTCAGCTGAGGATTTTTGTGTATTAGAGTTCATAAATCTAAAAATTAGCTATTTTACACTATTACACAAGCAATGTACTTTATTTCTGTGATGTTCCCCACCTGTCAGATGTCCAGGTTGTAGGAGAATGTGAATCTGCCTGCAAATGATCTGCAAAATTAACCTCATCCAACTGACCTCTTTCTGTGATTTGTTGTTTTTGTAAACAAATATTAAAAAGGTCAGAAGTCTTTTATGTAGCTTCAGTCTTAATTGTATAAGTAGCAATTATTTAGCAGAA